TCTTTCCAAAGATGCACGTGATTTTATCTTAAAGTGCATACAAGTCAATCCAAGTGATCGTTCCACTGCTGCTCAGCTCTTAGACCATCCATTTGTGAAGAGGCCCCTCCCAACATCTTCTGGCTCAGCATCTGCTTATATTTTTGGTGCTCGGTCGTCCTAAATGATTTTCTGGGCTTAAGTTCTGATTGATAGTGTGAGGTAACTTCAATATGTATCTGACTTTTTATGTTCTCTCTTTATGATTTTCAACTGCTGACTCTATCTTTGCTCTTGGAAACAGTTCCACGTAAAAGGGACAATTCTTGTTGTTGCAATCCTCAATTTTGGGTAGGTTTAGCCCAAGTTTTGCAGCAATCGGTTTCGTCCACAGACAAACTGAAAGTCTATTACAACTTTACGAACTCAAGAATGGCAAGAGTATCAGGCAATGGGATCTAATGTATGACTCCAGAATCCATTCTCCATGGAACAACCATTCCTTTGTTCTGTAAGTTCCTTTCCTAAGAATACGATACCGGAGCGAGCTGCTCTTATAATGCTCTATACTCATTCTATGTTGTTGTAGACTCGCGATTAAGAAAATCGGATTGATGTCTCAAATCACAAAGTGATTAATATTTTCCATTTTAAATTATTTAGTGGGTGAGAGATTTTAGGGATTAGTTGTGGGCGGTAATTGTTGTAAGAATTGAAAAACAAAAAACGAAAATATCAGTAGTTGTATATATCTTCTTGACATTGCCCACATGTAATAGTTGATTTGTTTACATCTGTGAAGTAATTTTCTTTTTGTTTGTCATCTTTGATATTCTTTCTAGAGCTTTAAGGATGTGTCCTGTACAATGTATGACTATTTCCATGACGATTTTGCCCCATGACTCATTTATTTTCGAATAAATTTTATCTTTGCCTCTAAACTTTGATCACTTTACCCTTGAACTTTAAAAACTGGTACGAACAGCCCCAAGGTTGATACTTGCAACCATTGATGTCAATATGTGCTGACATACCGTAAGTTTAATTGGCATTAAAGGGGCAAAATGTAAATCTAGCCCAATACTGTTCGAATCCCATGTGCAGGATCTAGATCTCCATGATGGCAGATATCTTGGTCGGGACTGCCAAAGATCTTCCACGAGGCTTCACAGAGGACCCATCACCAGACATTGTGGTGGGATCTCTCTTTCTCGTCGCCGTTGGCGGTGCTCCTCACATTGCCTTTTCTTTTTTTTTTTGGGTAATTTTGTTTTGTATTTTGGGTGGGACAATCAATTGTAGTAAGATAGGTTACCACCAAAAGATTGGTAGGCTACCGTCAACATTTGGAATTTTTGACATCACAACGGACTACCTCCAATATTACAGTAGGATAACGTTAAATGTTAGTGACGGATGTTTCGCGTCTAGCCGTTGCCACCGTCTTGTTGTCGGCGCTGCAATTTGGTCGGAGAAGCAGAGAAAGAAACAAGAGAGAGGCCGTAGAGAGAAAGGGGCGGTATAGAGAGTTTGGGGCCTGAGAAAGCAGAAAAAGAAAGAAACCCCAGTGAGTAAAACTGGAAATGCATAATTTATTTTAAAATGAATAAGAAAGATATACTATAATTTATCAACATTTAAATAATATGTTATTTATTTTAAAAAAATATGTCAAAAATGCTATTTAGTGTATTTTCCCTAAAAATAATCATTTTGTGTAAATATTCCTAATTTGGACTTAAATCCAAACATGAGGGCCCAAAATTCACAGCCCAAAGTATGAGGACTCAATAGCATCTCTTCCAAGGTCCAGCCGACTCCCAGGTGTTAGTCATTCGTACGAAATGTCGTCACAGTGGCGTATAAATGACACATCGAATATCTAATTCCATATATATTTTTTCGCCAAATATCAAAATAAAGGAAATTTTTATGGTACGTATACGTTAACGTATTAATAAGTTAAAATTTTTATTTATTTACATAACATTACAAAAAAATTAAAAATACACGTTTAAAAAAATTTAACGCACCGATACACGAACATAGATTTGACATGTAATTTTTTAAAAAGAAAAATAAATAGGCAATAATAAAAAAAAAATATTATTTAATTTAATCCGATCAGTCGCACCACTCTAGCACGGCACGCAACCCCCCAAAACCTCCCCTCCCTCTCGCAACCTCCGCGGGAAGAAGAGAACGTGGACTTCGCCCTCTCTCTCTCTCTCTTCCCGCCTCCGCCACCTCTCTCTCTCCTCCCCTTACAATCCCCTCATTCTATCTTTCTCTCTCATCGACAGATTTCTCCCACCGAATTTTCCAGGTGCCATCGTTTTCCTCCGATCTCTCTCTCTCTCCCTCTCTCTGTTTCTTCTTCTTCTTTTTTTCTTCTCTGGGATTTACTAGTTTCTAGGGCTTTCGCGGTGTGCGCCGATTCGCTGTTCCCGCGTCGATTTCCCATTTTTGGTTTTCGGAATTTCTGATTTTTATTTTGCGAGTTTCCTGGTGCCGAAATCTCTGGGATTCATTTTAGGGTTTCTATAGCTTTGACTCTGAATATCTGGAACGATCGCATTTCAGCTTTTCTTGTTCTGAACTATAGATTCTTATTTGTGTTAAGGCTTCTCGTAAAGTTACAGATTTTATATATTTTTCGACTGTGTAATTGTGTTCCCGATCTATATAACCATGGTCGTCTCAACATTACATTCGTAAAAGAAAAGGTTTTTTTTTTTAATTAATTTTTTGATGTATCAGTAGTTATTGTCGGTACAATTATTTTACACCACCCCTACTGGGGAATTACAAAGTTTTGTAGCTTTGTTGCTTTTCGTTTAGGCGTATTTTTTTAGCATTTCTATTATTGTTTTGGTTTGGTTTTTTGCTGGCATCGTGTAGTAATATTTGCTTTTATTGATTGTTATTGTTTATGTATTTGATTATTTGTTCATTGGAGGGAAATTGGGCGCAAGGGCTATACATTTAAGGAGGTCATTGTCTTGGCAGCGAATGTTTGATTTTGTAGTTATCTAAATTTTGCTCGGTTTTGACTTTTGATTAACATTTTTTTTTTGTCAGTTTTGGCCAGCCATTGCCAGAATCTTTCCACGCTTGAAGTTACACCGACCCTTTTCCTTGGAAAGTATTTTTCCTACTTCTAGTCCTTATTCGGTACTCACTCTCTCTCTCTCTCTCTGTTGTTTCTTGTGCAGTGCTGTTTGTGATATTAGACCATTATCAGGGGAAGAAAATAACCTGTGAGAACAAAAGTATACTCTCATTTGTGAATTCTGTATTTGTTTTGGTCGAATTTATTTGCACTTATATTTGGAGGTTAGGAACTTGTAATTTTGTTTAGGCCGGCCTATGGAGAATTTGCATAAAGCATGCCAATTAACTAAAGTACACATTGTTAGTTTATAATTTATTAGGTTCTGCATGTAGATTAGATATCGTATGGATCTTTTATTAGATATGGACATGCTAATGCTGTGAAGTGTGAATGTATGCATTGTATGTAACTTATCACACGCCCTTTCATTGATAGTTATTTGAGGACAAGGGTCTCTCAAAATTCAAGTTAAAAACCGAGAACATAAAATATTAGAGACAAAAGGTTACCAAAGACTCTCAAAAACACAACAATTATGCTTCTTTTTTCTTTACTTTTTCTTTTAGTGCAATTCAGTTGTAATTTCAAGAGTGTTTGTGGGTGTTTAATTATATGTTGTTGCAGGCAATATTGCATGTAACTTGCGATTGATTTAGTGGTTGTATCAAACTGTTTCTTTTAAAGCCACAGATTTATTTTCTGTTTCAAGTTAAGTGCTGGTGCCTTGTAGATTGATGTCATAAAATTAAAAATATCGATCTAGTTTGGTCTCATAAAATTAAAGATATCGATCTAGATTGGTCTCATAAAATTTAAAATATCGATCCTTTTTTCTGTTTCATATTGTGCTATGCTGGAATTTTGCATAGCTCATTTGCCTCAAATTTCAATTACCCCCATAATGTTTTGTTGGATTGTTTTAGGTGTCATCCCAAGTAGGAGAGATGTACACTACTTGTTCTGTTTATAATGAAACATATATTATGAAAAGAAATATTTATTGCATATGCTGTTCTCTTTTAGAGGATAAATGGCAGTAGAAACATGTCTTAATCTATATTTTTACTTTACTCATTATTGTGTTATATCAGACTTGTTTGTATCTATTTTCACTTATCACTTGCTATCTGCCGATGCCGGACTTGCTTCACTTGACTTCTTAGTTATATAAAAAAATAAAAATAAAAATAAAAATAAAAAACTGTATTTTATTGAGATCTTAACATATATTAAAATAGCAAAGCCAATATCAGGAGGCAGAATGGTAGGTACTTGACAGTTATTTTATTTTTTTTATTGAATGTACAAAGTTGTATAGATGTATGAAAAGAAACGAGGAGATACTACTCTAGGGATTATATGGTGCTTTTAGGAGTTACTATCCCAGGAAGTGGAAATACCTTCAATTGTGACGGATTTTATCATTTTATTTGTGATTCCTCTTTGGTGAAGCTTAATGATTTAAATTTGTGTGAACTGGTTCACAGGAAAAACGACTTAGCTTTATGTCATGGGGTCACAGCCAAAAGAGTAATTGGTCTTTTGTAGTCGTGTATGCATAAGTTAATCAATCTATTTGTCCTGAGGCTAGTGAATAGTTGTTGGAATTATTCTATGTATGCCTTATCATATGTTATCAAATCATATTAAGTTGAACTCATCCGATGTCTCTCTGTTTCTCTGTCTGTCTTGCTCCCTCTCTCTCTCTTTCTGTAGATGGCCAAAGTTAACAAGTTGCAGCGTAAGTCTGACTCCAAATGTTCCAGGGCGACTAGATATTTATTACCATCTAGTGCTTGGAAAGTTCGTAAACATGTCCATCCAAGGAAGAAATATGACAAAGCATCAGAAAAGAAAGATTGGGAAGATGCAACTTGTTCAGTTTGTTTGGAGTTCCCTCACAATGCTGTCCTCCTTCTTTGTTCATCTTATAACAAGGGTTGTCGCGCTTATATGTGTGCTACTAGTCATCGCTATTCCAACTGTCTTGAACAATACAAGAAAGCATACACGAAGGTAGGTTGTACTCAAAGCTCACATCAATTGAGTGGGTCAATGGGTGATTTAGGTTCCAGTTCGGTTGTAGGGCAGACAAATGAAAATATTGAAGTGCCAGAGCTTTTATGTCCACTTTGTCGGGGCCAGGTCAAAGGTTGGACAGTCGTGGAACCAGCACGGAAATATCTTAATGCCAAGAAGAGAACTTGTATGCAGGATAAGTGCACATTTGTTGGAAATTATAAAGAGCTTAGGAAGCATGTTAAGACAAAACATCCTCTGGCTCGACCTCGAGCAGTGGATCCTGTACTTGAAGAGAAATGGAAAAGGCTCGAGTGTGAGAGAGAACGAAGTGATGTCATCAGCACAATCATAACATCAACTCCAGGGGCAGTTGTTCTGGGTGATTATGTACTAGAGCCAAATCAAAGTGGCTTTTACAGTGATTATGAATCTGATCTTGACGATTACTTTGAAGATTTCGGCTTAAGGTCGCTGAATTTAGGACGAAATGCTGCTTTTCTCCCACGTGATAGCTATCGCAGGGACTTTGGCTCTGCTGAGGAGGATGATTTTGGGGTGCGTCGCACCACATATCCCGGTTATGTTTCTGCTTCTGGGCGTGGTTTCCACCGAGCAAGAATACTAGTCTCGAGGAGACGCCGGAGACGGAGAGGAAATGACAATCATTAGTTTGTGAATTGTGATACCCAATTTTAACAGAAGGTTGCAATCCCTGCTTCGGCTCCTATAATAGTGGTGATTGATAACTAATTTTAGATTGTAGGAAAAGCATTTTAGGGGTCATTATCTTTTGATTAGGTTTTTAGTTTTGGGGATTTCGGCAGTCTATCCTCGCAGCTGCACGACTGCACGGACTGGTTCTCGTTACGTTATACCGACTACTAGTGGTCATCTGAACAGGAAGAGTCATTTCTAAAACATTGCAAAGTTTTCTTATTTTGTTGACGATTCATTCAACAGAACTTACGTTGGATCTGGTCGGAGGAGTTATGCTCAAACTCTTCTATTTTGCGTGGCTTCCAGTTTATCTTTTTCAAATTCTTGTACCAGCCCAGTGTTCTTTAAGGAGTACAATTCATGTTTAGGACCATTTCTTGAAGCTCCTCTTTTATGGAACCTTTGGCAAATTAGAAATGTATTCGAATTCATCTATTTCCATGCTTGTATATTTATTTTCTTATCATCTTTTTCCCACATTTTTCTTGCTGTTTAATTCAAAGTCAAAGGGTTATATCTTTTATGGCGTGCCGACAACTATATATGAAAGATGTATCTTTGATTTCTTATGAACTTGCTGTATTGGGGCTAATAACTTTTTTTTTTTTTTTTTTTTTTTTAAATTATCCTCTTTTCTTTTCTTTTGTGAGATTTTTTTTTTTTTAAATTTTTGTCGAAGAAGTTTAGTTTTTGCTATTAATTTATGGCCTGAATGCGGAGCGGTAATTTTTTTTTTTTTTTTTTTTTTTCTAAATAGTCTGTGTGGGGTATTATCCTACTCTAGAATTTCTCTATTATTATTTTTATGTTGTTTGCTCAAGTATTGAATTTCTCTATTTAGTCCTCAGGTCTCATGTTTTTGTGTCTAATCATGTTTGCTTTTTCTAGTGGTATGGGTTTATTCTTATAACTAGTTGAATTTTAACATGTTATTTAACTCTACAATTTATGAAAAATAATGTGTTATATATTATTTATAAAAATACGTGTATACATACATATGCATACACATATACACAAATACACATACACTGTAACAAACAACACAGAATAAACTGGGTCAAATCACAAGACCCGATCTAGCAAATCTGCATCTTAATCAAAAAGGAAAGTTGTTTGTACAAATCACAACGTGTTTCAACAATATTTTTTATTTTCTTTTTTTATACTCCAAACCACTTGATGATGACCCTCCTGGAGCATTCTCTCTTTAATCTCTGCAGAATCCTCTCAGAATCCCTCTTAATCTTCCCTGAAAAAGAAAGGACCGACAAACATACTATCGAACCAAAATTGCATAACAAAAAATGTAAAAGGGATCTGTAAAAAAATAAATAAATAGAACAGATAAATGATTCTTACTACAAACGGAGAATTACTGTGTCTATTGCCTTTCTTCTTCTTCTTCTTCATCATGCCAGTGATGGATTTTGGTCTGCATGATATGTCCACTTCCGGCACTAATCGCCGATATCTCTTTCGGTTTCTTGTGATGCCTTGAATTCTCATCGGAGTACTCGAACTCTTCCCACTTATCTGCATAACCCAAATTTCAATTCAAAGAATCCATACAATTTTCATGCATATAATGCTTACGTAGATAGAATCCACATTCCACACAAACAAAAACGAAAACCAACCTTTTGCTTAGGCTTGGGAATAATATTTTTGGGCCACCCGGGCTGTTTGGTATCAGCATTTCTCAGCTCTTTAGCATAGGCGAGAAGCTGAGCACGGCGATCATAGGCTCCTGTTTTGGAGAATATTGGCTTTGATGATTTCTTACCATTATCACGGCTACCCTTTTGATGAACATGGATTGGCCTTGGTGGCGGCGACGGGGATTCGACATAGACGGTGATGATGACTTCCTTCTTATTCTGGTTGGGATTCTGTGCTGTTTCCTTGCCCTTGTTCTCTTGATCCTCTTTTCCTTGCTTTCTAATTGACGCGTGATGGGTCGCAAAAGATGATTGTGATCGAACCGAGTGCATTCCTTTGGCAATTTGAGCTTTCATTTCGCCTAAACAAAAGGGTTTCTTCATGGTGTGATCCTTAAAACTCATAATGCAAAAATGGGGAATAAGAAAATTTTCTTAATATGTTTCTTGTTTCTTTACTGGAAAACATTCTTAATATGTTGCATGCGCTGGCAAATCCAACGTGAATTTGTTTCTCCCAAGTTCTTTGGGCGTCATTTATGATGGGCTTTTCCTTTTTTGCCCTCTAGCCCATATTATAGTTGTATGGGTTTAGGACATGGTAAAAGGCATTTAGAAAGAGGGAAATAGGCCAACTTGAGATGAATTAAAATTGATAGGTTAATAGTTTATATAAGTTAATAAATAGGTTAAATTACTATTTTTGTCTATAATTTGTCTGGTTATGAACCATAACTTGACAAGTTATTGTCCATAATTCACGATTTTTATCCATAACTTGTCTGGCTATAAATCATAACTTGACAAGTTTGTTCATAATTTATCTGGTTATGAACTATAACTTGACAAGTTATGGCCTATTAATTTTTATAACTAAAAATTGACCTATATACTTTCTTAAGCTGTTCATATTGGCCTATTTTCTACTATTTCTGATAGAAGTAATTAGGCAAAATTTCATACATTGAATTGAAATTTAGCAAAATTTTTAAAATATTATAAATATAACAAAAATGACATAATAATTATTATAATGATATCATATTTTATACTATATAATGATATAATCATTATTTTAATGACATAAAATAATATGAAATTTTGATATTTTTGTAATATTTCAAAATTTTTGCTAAATTTAAACTTCGACATCAAAATTTTGCTTTAAGTGTAAATCACTCTTATAAATATGGTCCAAAAGAATTATTTGGTCCAACTATCAAGTGGACCAGGTGAACAGATTCAATGAAAAAAGAGAAAATTGCTAAACTTACCATTTTATAGATTCAAATTAGTGTCTAAACTTTTTTGCTATAATATTTTTTCTCATAAAATTTAAATTTTTATTCAAATTTATAAACCAAATTGGTCCTTACCCTTAAAGTGAATGAATCTGAATTTATACCCCTTACTCTTGATAAATACCCTTTTGACTAATTAGTTATTTCACTAAAAAGATATTAATCAAGATTAAGTAGTAAAAGCCCAGACCGATATATTCCAAGGGGTGTTTGTCTATTTTTCTCATGAAAAAGGAGAAAGTTATTGAACTTACGTTTAAAGTGCATGGGTCCGGATTTTAACCCATTACTCATGATTAATATCCTTTTAACTAATGATAATTGTGAGAATTGCTAAACTTACCCATAGAATATATGAGTCTAGATTTTTATCCTTTTACTCTTGATTAATATCCTTTTTACTAATATAGTGATTTGACTAAAAATGATATTATTCAAGAGTAATAGATAAAAGTTCAAACTCATGCATTAGAGGGTATATTTTGTCGTTTCCCCATAATTATTTGCTTAAAAATCAATTGGCCAATGTTTATAGGCCAAACATCGAAAAGGTACTATTTAAAGGGGCATTTATCCTCTTTCGAAAAAAAAGATAAAATCCACTGAAATCCGAGAATTTTACATTTATGCCACTAAACTTTAATAAATTAGTTTTACTGGTGAATTGAATGATGTAGATCTTAGCTTTGTGTGATTGTGTGGCATAAATGTAAAAAAGGCATCCTTTGAGTGGTATTTCTATATTTCTCTCATGTAAAAATTACATAAAATATATTTGAGGAATCAAAATATAACAATATTATTTTTAAATATTTTAAGACTAACAAATAATTATATTGTAATTATTATAATGATTGTCAGGTCTTATACTACATGTTTACATAGTAATTATTATAATAATTTTGTTTTTTTTAAATATTGTAGCTTTTTTGCTATATTTCATCATGACTAATAAAATTAAATTACATGTCTAAAATCCTCTACTATTAATACGAAATATGTATCCATCATATTATTTTATTGGACCATAAAGGTGAGCTAGACATATAGCATAATCTTATTAATCATGTTAAAATATAACAAAAATTTAGAATATTTCCTAAATAATAAAAAAAATAAAACCATTACACAACTTTCTAGCATAAAACGCGAAAATTAGTACACTGTTTACTATATGATTTTGGTATGTTTAATATGTTATTATATTCCATATCCACTATTATTAATAGTGTAACTTTTACAACAAAAGATTCAAGTAAAGAATGATAAAACTCGTGCGTGTCTCTATTATTATTATTATTATTATTTTTTTTTATAGTGCGTGGGGAATGATTAGCCATAGCTATTTCTCATTTGGACATAAGTAAAAGCCCTCATGCATCGAAAAATGGCTACATTTAAAGCCAATACTACTTATATTAGGAGACGAACAGCGCTAGCTCAGCTATTAGGATTATAAAACTATTAGGTTACTACCCCTTAGGATTATAAAACTATTAGGTTACTACCCCTTAGGATTATAAAACTCGGAAAATTTTAAAATTAGAAGCTAGATAGACCTAAATTGGGTTTTTACGTCCTGCACAAGACTATAATAGTTTTTCCCTTTTCTCTTAAAAGAAAAGAAAAAAA